TGCAAGGGCCTGAGTTCAATTCCTGGTTCTGCAAAAACAAAACAAAACAAACAAACAAACAAAAAACCCCATGGTCATCAAAAAGAAAGTCTGAGAAGTTCACAAATGCGAGGAGCCTAAAGGATCGATGATTTCATGTGCTGTGGTCCTGGATGTGACCCTGGACCAGAAAAAGGACAAAGATGAAGGAGATCTTAAGTACAGACTTTGTTTACAACCACTGACGGGGGTGAGGTTTCCGTGCTACTGTCGAGTGTTCACGGCAGGAGGAACTCGGTGTGGGCACAGGTGACCCTCCATGCTATCTTTGCAACTTTGCTGTAAAACTATTCTAAAATAAAAACCAACCCAGTGTAACTGCAGAATGCAGAAAGGTGGCTTTCGAGTGCCTTGTGGCTGGATACACATAAGTCACCGTGTCCTGAACATCCTATCAGAGAAGCAGGCTCGGGGGAGACAGTCCTGGAGGAGATGGGGTGTGCTCAAGGTCACGGATTCTGGGGCGGCGGAAGCTGCGCCCTGGCTCTGGCCATGAACACACCGCCTCTTTTGCTGCCAGGCGACCCAGGTGGCCGCTGAGAGCCATCGGCATGGGGACCAGCCACGGTGTTTGTATCCTTCAAAATGCTGGGGTCACAGCAATGAGAGAATCTCAGACAGGTGTGTGGGAGAAATTTTATTTAGTGAAAGGCTTCGACAGCATTCCTGAAGACTGTGCCATGAACACTCTCCTCCATAGCCGTGTGACCCCAGGCGGGCGAGTCAGTGTGCCTCCATTCTGCATGAGGAAACGGGACCCAAATGATGCCTACCTGACAGAAGCTGCCGTGAGGCTCTAACAAAACTGTGCAGATGGCCATCTAGGGTGTGCACAACAATGCTGAAAGAGCCCAATGGCATGCTTCTCAGAAAACATTCTTATCATTAAGCCAGGCAAGACTAATTGCCAGGACCTATGCGCATCCTCCTGGATGCTTTAAATCCTCACTTACAATATCCTATGCAATGCAAAAGCTGTGCAAGTGGTTAATCCCCCACAGTGTTTAGGGACGAGTCTGTACACATTCGGTATGGCTGAAAATTTTTCTCCAAACATTTTCCACCCATACATAGTTGGTTGAATCTGTAGAGGTGCACCCCGGGGGGACAGAGGGCTGATTACACTGTACTTCCACTTCTTTCCTGCTCCTTCTTGGGTGGTGGCTGTGCTCTGGCGCACCTAGGACTGGACTCAACTCTCAGCTGGGTGTCACTGGTCAGTTGGATCCTGGGAGGATGGAGTTGATTTCACTTCCTGTGGTACTGGCCTTGGTGCCCCACCCTGGGCCCCTCGCTGGCTGACCCCACTCCTCTAGCAAGCAGTCCTGGCTAGGGGCTATTTCTGGTTACAATCCTAGGGCAAAGAGGGCTAGAAAACGAAGCCTCATGCTCCACAGCTTTTGTCCCGGGAGTGTCAGGAGTCAGTGAAGAACACATAGCTCCCTGCCTCTCCCTCTGTCTGCTGGGACAGGAACACCCTGCGATTCCTGTCCTATACCAGTCCCCAGGGTTTCCCAGCAGGAGTCAGCCCCAGCTGCCCCAGGCATAACTGCTGTGAGAAGCGCACTCACAGAGTCCTCTTGGAGGCAGCCCAAGTAAGGTTCTCTTCTTAGCCCTGAACTCACTGACTATAAAATGGGTACAAGGGCGGAGCTAACCTCGCAGCATTATTGAAAGATGGTACTTGTAAAGTAAAGGGCTTCGCATCCATAAGCGTCCCAAAGAGAAACACAATGGCCATTTTCACTTGGCTTATTCTGTTTATGATGAGAAGACCACATCCTTTGACAAAGCGGTCATGCATTAGTACGGGCCTAGCTGTCCTACAGGTCCGCTTGCCTCCTGCCAGGACTGGCCCCCACTGTCTGGCCTGGGCCCATCTACACACATGCCCAAACACAGCCCTCCTGATGACCAAGAATAGTCCAGAAAATGGCCTTTGACTTGTGCCTTGCAAGGCAGTCAGTGTAAAGTGCTTGCCTAGTGTTCAGGAGGACCTGGGTTCCATGCTCAGCTCCATAAGAATTTTAAAAATACATGCTCCAAAAACACTCTCTCAGGCTTTCACAGAGAGCACACTGGCCAAGCAATGGCCGTGACT